GAGGCTGTCAAGCAGTCACCGTCACAATAATGCATGTCTCCAACTTTGTCTCTGACGTGTGGTAGTCTCCGTTGTCGACTGGCAGTCTCCACTGTCGTCTGACCATTGTTGCCCAAACACAATCTTCGACTGGTAGTCTCCGTTGTCGACTGGCAGTCTCCACTATCGTCTGACCATTGTTGCCCAAACACAATCTTCGAGCCACCACCATTGTTCGGTCGCCGCCAACCACTGATTCATCACTGCCCGACCATAGTCGAACCACCGCTACCCTGCCACTGCCATCGAGCCCCACCACCACCATCATCGGACCACTGCTGCACGTCCACTGACGTCAATTTGTCGCCAACACCAGACCACCGTCGCTGCTGTCGGACAAACACTATTTTCCTTCCGCCACTACTGGTTCATCGTGTCCAACCACCATAGTCCAGACATTGTCACCGGACCACCACTACTCTGTTGTTGTCATCGCCGTCAGGTGGCCGCTATCGAGTACACTAAAATCAAATTTTCATGCACACGGCCTCTACCATTGACTTTTCCTTATAGCAGCCGGGTCGCCACAACTTCCTCAACATTTTGTGCTACTTCCTTTATGAAAGTCTCATACCACTTGTGTAACATCGCTTTCGCCTATTCAAGAATCGTTAAAGTCTTGTATCGTATATCAACGTAATAAAATCATTTCAATTCGACAAAACCACCTGGTTTTCATCCTTTCATATTTTACTATGTAAAAACTTCTCCTGTCTTCTTGTCAATTTATCTTCATTTGTGTATACACTGGATCTTTCGTAAAACACTGAAACGTTAATACATCATTCTACTGCCACAAATATACGTGCAAAAGTTGTCAAGGACATTATTCTTAAAATTGGTTTTGATTTTTCCCGACCAATTGTGGACAAGCAAGTCATCATTAGGAAGAACACCACACCACCTTTCATAATTCAAAACTTTATTGAAAGTGAAATTGAAATCAAGTTTTTTTTAGGGGAAATTAAAATAATGTTTTGCATTCTGGTTTAAAACAATTGTTTTCGTAATTTTTTGAAATTATTCTTTTTCAACTTCGTCTCGTTATGCCTCGTTTTTCTTGTGATGAAGTGATTGGCTGACAATTACAGATGGGTCACTCATCAATCATAAATTCATACATTTTATTAAAATAAAAAAAAATTAATAGATTCCGCTTCGGCAAATTCATCAAATCTAGATTTCTCGTTTCAGAATCAGCTAACCATCAGCAGATTATCAGGATAAACTGCTTATTAGCATAAGCTGGATAAGCTACAGCTGCCCCAAACAGACCCTTAATTTAATTTTGATTGAAATTGCCCTAAGACTATCATTCATTGAATATATTTAATTTTTGGCTTCAGTTAATTTTAAAATTTTACATAAGTTTTAGAGTAATTGCTAAAGTATATAAAAATAGAAGTTTAGGGGTTAGATATATAAATATAGGAGAATTGAGTGTTATTTACGTATATTTTCTTTGTTTCTATAATCACATTACAAGTCATGTCGAGTCTAGTTAGAGCTCAAGCTTAACTCTACGAGTTTTAACCAACACACGAGCCGTTTAATTATTATGAAAAAAAAAAGATTAATTCAAATTATTGTTATATTAAAATGAAAAATAGAACGAGCAATTTAATGATAAATAATAGTAAATCACTTGATGCTAAATACAAAATATTATTTTTACACCTTTACAATAATTTAAAGACAAAAAATTGAATTTCAATATATTTTGAGTGTGTTTTAAATCAATTATTTTTTAAACGAACCGGCTCACGAGCTAACTAGTCGAGTCGGGGGTTGGCTTGAGCCATTTATCGAGCTGAGCCCGCGCCAGCTCACGAATCAGCTTGACTCAATTGCAACTCTCCGAGTCATATATCTCAAAAAAATATGTAAGGAATTAGGCAAATACATATTATCATATATGGCTTATAATATCCATCTTAACTATTGAAATCAATCAAAGATATAACTATTAATATATTTATGA